GAAAAGTAACTACACACGTGGAAGGTTACAAACCTACTTTGGAAAGGTGAAAAATTAAAGACCCTAGTGTTGTCTAAATTAACATATATAATGCTTCAATAATTGAAGTTCCATGATCCAGAGAATCATTTTTAAAGTAAACATATTAACATACGATTTTTTATGGAACGGAAAAAGAGAAAAATTAAAAGTAAAAAAAAATCGGTAATCTGAAATTTAGAATGGCATAAATATGCCTGATTTCTCATTACACACAAAGGCCCTCAAAATTAACTTGGCAAGAAATGTATTTATTTTATTTATTAGGCCTATTCTATACTATATTTTAAGAGGGCAACTCTAGCATAAAGCTGACTAGAAGAGGTTCTCTGTGTACAGTACGATATACAATACAAGGCCACCTAAATTATCTGATAAGTATTAGTTTCAGTGACAAATAATAGTTATGATAGCCGTCACCAAACCAAATTAAGGGATTCTGATCAGATGATTAATGACCGGTGCTGTCAGCAGTATACAGAAACTGGGCATTTATAGGTAGAATCGGTTGAAGAAAGTACATGAAACAAACAAGAAAAAATAAGTAACACCGGCAGATTTTAAATTTGGTACGAAGAACAACAAATTTAAGAGACGATTAATATCAAGTCTCATTGGGCCAAAAAACCGATAAAAGTACGGCGGTGCAAGATTGTAAGAGGCTTATAAGCAGGACAACTAAGCTGAAAAAAAAATACGGGAAACGTTAAAGTAGGTTGAGCGAGGAAAAAAGTGAAGATGGTTTAGTTATTCATTCCCTCTGTCTCTCTCTTCTGGCTGACCCTAACCTTGTATATTGTTTTTTTTTTTTTTTTTTTTTTTTTTTTTTTTTTTTTTATACTTTGGTTTTTTTTTTTTAAATCTTTTTTTCTGCTTTATTTTTTATATAAGATTTCTGTTCAGGCACCTTATCTTTTACCTCTTTCTGTTCAACAATCTTCAAATTTAAACTCATTTAAAACTAATTTGAAAATTTGTTTGTTTACATAATCGCCTTAATTGGGTTAATTGTTTACTGCGCCTTTGATAATGTTTTTGAATTGGCGCGTTATACATTTTTGCATATTATTATTATTATATATGTATATCCAGAATTATTATTATTATTATTATTATTATTATTATTATTATTATATATTGTAATAATTTCTTTTCAATTGTGACTTGGTTTTTATTATTATATCATTTTAATTTCTTTGTTTATCTATTTATATTTCCTTCGTTACTTGTTTTATGTATTGGGGTCCCTAATTATCAGTTCCGGCTAGATGGACCAACCTCGTAAAATATTGTTGAAATAAAATAAATTAATAAATAAATTCAAGTAAATTTCAAGGAAAGGTGATTTTGCTGTGATCTGCTGGTGCAATAATGGTACAGACATGGTAAGAGTAATTAATAACCTGTCAAATTAATGGTCTTTTGTATCTCATCGATGTCCAAACTATTATGCCTAATTATAATAGCCTATGATATAAACGTTTTGAACAATTTTCGCCGACAAATCTCTCTTAACTTTTTCGACGGGGGAGGGGGATGCCTCCCAGACTTGTATTCTCCCGTAGCGCTGCCACTGATTGATTCCAAAAGAATGGATTGTTATAATTAAGAAACCTAACCATGATGTACGCATGATTACGGATGACTCTGTAAACATAATTAATACATTGGAGTGATTTTCGGCTAAAGAAATGAAAGAACGAAAAAATAGAAAATATGCACAGTTAAATTGTAAATTATTTAAAAAATTGTTCCTACAAACTTACAATTAATTTAGTTACAACTGAAAAATAGTAACAGATGCAACATTTTGCAATGAAATTGATGACGAAAAACACGTTTTTTTTTAATGCAAACATAATGAAATTCTATGGAAAAATACAGTAGTAGTTGTGGTTCAAAAATTAAAAAATGACAAAAAATCATAAAAAGTAATTTTGAAATTAATTTTAACAAATTATGGAATTTAAAAATTGTCTTATACCCTGATTTTACTGGATAATGATAATAAAACACGAAATATAGTTTAACCATGTTTAATTTCACGCCATCATGTCGGAATTCAATATTTCGATATTACTATTATGTCATCATTCCTGATGATATGATATTTGGAGTAAGTATTATACTATCTTATATGAGATTAATTAGTGTACCTTTCGGTCCATGTTTAATTTTCATGTGTATATATTGTTATATTTATATTTATTATTATATCAGTCAAATGTACGGTCTTGCTTATTCTAGTGTTGTTTTCGATTTTTACTGTTTGCTAGTTTAGCAGAATAAATCTCGTATATACTGGTATGTATTATGTATGACGACAATAAATGAATCTTGAATCTTTTTGGAAGTGTTTCTTTCATTTTCGCTGTACGATAATGAGTAAACTTTTTTAAAATACATTAATATATTTGATTTGATTTGATTTGAGTATATACGTACTGTATCCATTTTCCACAAAAATATATATATATGTATACACACACACACACACACACACACACACACCCACACACACACACACACATATATCCCCTCAAAAACCCTTCTCAACAATAAACAACAATAAACGTCGAATAAATACGGTATCTATGGAATTGGCGTTGATTTTCCAAATAAAAAGTCACATTTTGCGTCTTTATTATTCTATATACTTTCAATGGATATTCTTAAAGCAAAGGTATTCATAAATTCTCTATAAACAATCCATATAAAGATAATAGAACTTTCACTAAAATTTCCCTTAAGAATTCTATAGTATAGGAGTGTTGTATTTATTTTCTACAATATAATACTGGCAGTTTTCACAAATTTCATATTTAATATACGGTATATTGTAATGTGATGTTATGGCAAACTAAAAACTTTGCAAAAATTAATTATTTGTGCAGTTTGCGATACAGCAAGTCCTCACCATGTTTTCAACCCCTATCTAAAAATGGATTATTCCTTTTCGCGCCTTGTGTATTGTAAACAAACAACAGCGCTTTAGGTGTCAATGTTTTACTTCCGCTGATGTGTCAATCAAGGTCTTTAAACGACCCATTTCATACGGTGAGCATTTTCCATTATTTTACTAGACCAAGGCCTAGTTTTGAAAAGAAAGTTTATGTTTAATCGATTGTCGAATGTTGGTTAAATGTGTATATGTTGTAAATGTAGCTTATAAACGCTCGTTAATAGTAGTATGACTAAGAACTCACTCAACTCAGTCAGTTCATGGCTAGACTCAGCCTGGTGGTGGGATGGTATTCTGTCTAGACTACGTAGTAAGTGGTCTTACAGCTACATTTTGTACTGTTCCAATAAATAAACTGCTAACCTACGTGGTCCATATCAGCTTTATTAATACTAGGGGTCACCCACTTATATTATTGACAATTGTTTGAAATATATTTTTAAAAATTATTTTCCCTTGAACAGATTGAATATGCAAGAGTAGGTGACTTTAAAGTGTAAAGCTGGAAAATTAAAGAAGACAAGGAAAGTAGCCATGCCTGGTCTACTTCTTAAACTCTTGCTACTTCTGTTGTACCTGATATTGCTGTTCGTAGTATTCCGACTCTGCGAACTAGCTGTGTGGTATGAAGCAGGGTTTGTGGCAAGCCAACTCGTCGACCCTGTGTCACTCAGCGTTCGCAAGCTAAAGAACCTACTGGATGCAAGGGGTGTTAACTATGAGGGTATGGTGGAGAAAAAAGAGCTCTCCCAATTAGTTGACCAATCAGGTATTAAGATTATGAAGTATGCTTACTTTATTTATATGATTAACGATTATGATAAATTGTAATTACAGATTTTCTGAATAATATACTGACAGGACCACACTGGTGTATAATATACATCGGTGTTCGTCATTGATCTGCAAGCTATTAGGTGTTCTTTATTTATCTATGGATTTATTTATTTAAATAGAAATATTGTAATAGTAAATGAAATTTGTACGCAAAACAAGGTATATGAATTGTGATTCTTAAAATGGTGTAGAATTTTAATTCATAATGGTAAGATGAATACTAAAATGACAAAAATGTAAATGATTAATAAATAGTAAATATGTTGTCACTTGCATCACAAACTAACAAAATGAAAGTACATTAGATCAAAAATAACCTGGTTAGGCCCTATAAAAAAAATTACTAGTTTATCACCCTCGCACGCATGCCTTCTATGGTACTGGAAAAAAAAAAATTTGTGAAAAAATTTTGTTTTGAAATTTTATTTATTTATTTTTTTCATTTATTTTATTAAATAGTATGCAAGATATTGTTTGCATTATCTAAATCATGTTTTACTTTGAATATCAATGCACCAGCAAACAACCCAAGGGTAATGTTTGGCTTTAGCAAAATAAAAAAAGCCTACCTCCCTCATCACTCTTCCTGCCCAGATAGGGTGATAAACTAATAATATTTTTTATAGGGCCCAATGTCAAGCAATTTTATATTCTTTACCACACAAAAAGTCTGTAATGACAACAGTGCATATTTTAACAGGTTTTTTTTTGTTTTCACAAACTAACACAATCTATTTTCATTTTTTAGTTTGTGATGTGAGCGATGATATGTCATTATTTTCTTTTTCCTGTTTAAACTATTGTGTTGTAGCCTATTGATGGTACATAGAGTACAACAGTCATATTACACCAGGTGGCGCTCTTAGTTGTCAACCAGACGTTGGTTACCGTTCATTACGCCTGAATGACTTCATAATCTTAATGGTTTAGGAATAGGCATTGTAAAACCTAATAATTTAATATCAAAATGTACTAAAAACTCAAAAGCTTGCATTATATTATCAAACACACATTTAATCATTAATTAAAATTTACAAAGAAAAACTAAGATATACCATCTTAATAATTACATTAGAAATTGAGATCAATGGTTTGTCAGTGGAGCAAATGGCTTCTGGTTAAACGCATTTTGTGTCACCAATAGCAACGGAGTAGTAACACTTGGTATCATGACGTAACACTGTAGTACTCTGTACTGATAATTTGCAAGTGTTTGTGTGGATGAAAGGCTACCATAAATGATATTAATGTAGTACTGTATTTTCAATGGTTTGCATCTTACAGGCGATGTTCTTGATGGAGAACTGATGATGGCAGAAGAAGAGGAAGATGAAGAATCAGAAGATGATTCTACTTTGTTTAGTTCCAGAGGACACTTCTATGAAGAAGTGGAAGATAAGAAGGACAGTGTATGGCTCATTCAGGTGAAAATTATTATCAATAAAATTATTATTATTAGAACAGTATTATTATATACTGTATTTATTCGAATAGATGCCCGAGGGTGCCAGAAAATTTTGGCAGTGCTACCAAGAAAAAAAGTTAATTTCAAGCCCTGCTGGAGTAGAACATTAATATAATGTTTTTCTTAATGATGTTGCTCCATTAGATTTGTTTACAATCATTTAGGGGGCATTTATTCAAGGAAAAATATATATTCGAGGGAGGCGTATATTCGAAATGAGGCTCTAGATCAGGTATTAATTTTTGAGGGAAGTGTTTATTCTAAGTGGGACATTATTTGAATAAATACGGTAATTATTATATAATTTATTATTCTTATTTTGAGTTTTCTTATTGACAATTTCATATTTTTAAATTTTCGTTTTTCTTTTAATGAATATTGTCATAAAAATAATTATTATTGTTTGTATTTTACAAGGTTAAACCTCTAGGTCATCACAGTTTACTGTATCCAGCGTCATGGAAAGCCATTAAAAAAAAGGTGTCTCATTTTGGAATACGTACTGGAACTTTTGACTGTAATTCAGATTCAAGGTGAGGGCAATGCATTAGAATCATTGTTGTAACCTGACTTCTATATTTCCTCATGAGACACATCGAATACTTGGGGATTAGATTCATCACTAGTCACTAAGTGCAAGCTTGGTTGTCTAGTGGTTATGACACCAGTTTGGTTATGTTGAGGTTGTGGGTTCAATTCTCACCAGAAATTTTTTTCAAAAGTATTTGGGAAAGTGCAGAGTATTCAGCACAATAACATATCAGGTAGGGCAATAACATCACTTCTACGATATTTTTTTATGCAAACACATCGAATTACCATTTGCAGTACCCACTGCTACATGGGGAGCGGATTCAACACTAGTCAATTAGTGCAAGTTAGAGGTTGTGGGTTCCATTCCCACCCAAACCATTTGCAAATTTTTTCGAAAGTATGTTGGGAACGTACCAAATATTCGGTATGATAACGCTTCAGGTAAGGCCAAACATCACTCTTAATAACTAATATAATAATGTTAATCTAGGTATTATCTATTTATTTACCGTTTGTACATATTTTACTTGTTTCCTTTTAGTTTCTGTTCAATGAAACAGTGGATTAAGCCAAGCATCCTTCTGGCAATGCCGCAGGGAGAAACGTACAAAGACCATGTTACGATGTTTCATTACTATAAACCGGGCCAGCCCGCATACATACTGGACTGGATAAACAACCATCTAAAGACAAAAATTACAATACTATCCAATCAAGATGCTGCACAGGAATGGATGGAAACGGCAAAAAGCCGTCCAAATCACTTTCCCATACGTGTCGCATATTATTCGAACATTGACCAACTACCGCTGTTTTACTCCTTACTCAGTGTAAAATTCACAGGAAGAATAAAGTTTGCGTTCATATCGACCGATCCAATGGAATTTTCCACAACAAAAAGGTCTCAGAAAGATATTTTGAAAGTCCCGTCTATATTAATTACAACACCAGAAGATACCTTACATTATAGTAAACGCCCGGGCGAATATTTATCATATGCAAGACTTGTGCTTTACTTGAAAACATTATCTCCCGAAGTTAATGATGTGTTTATTTTGAGTTTATTGTTTGTGAATGTACTCTGTGTTTTTGAATTCTTTGTAACGCAGGGTGGGATTTTGAAACGATCTTTTTACTTAACATGGACAATTGGAAAATCAAATGTTAGTTTTCTAGCATTTTGGTTACCGTTTCTTGGAATGTTGCAACTATCAGTACTTGAACCCTTTTGGAATTTTGCCAATAAAATCCTTCGCAAGTTCCTAATATCGAATATAATGTGTTATATACGCAGCGATGTTCTTGTTTACTCCAACAACACCAAATTTCTCTTGTTAACATTCCTGACATATTGCTGCATTATCGGTTTAATTGAAAAATATCGTAAGAGGACAACAACAGTCCAACAGGAATCAAATACTGCATGGCTACGTGGAGTTCTCCGGCATTACTACATGTTCCTTATTAGGCCTTCATCAAATTTATACCGCCCTCGACTAAACAGAGCGCATATGGAGGAAGGCTTGGATTTGCTGATTGATCGTCTTGCTGTACCAGATTTCTGGCTACATCCAGTAATTCCAACAGATTATATTTCAAATCTTCAAACATGGAAATACTGCAGTTCAAAAGAAAAGGATTATGAACAATCATTTGATAAGCTATGTGGGTCATGTGATTCTCAAGAACAAGTGAATGCCGAGTGTTCTTGTGTTGAAACTTCAAAAAAATCATCTGGTGATGATTCACTTGCTCTTTGTGATGTTCCCGACTCAGGAGTTCAAGATGAAGATCTGCTGCCCTCAATGAGAGTCAGTGAAATACAGCAGGTGGATGATGTAGATCAGCAGCTGAATGCAGATACTTGTGAAACGATAAATTCTCAAGAAGGCCATGATTTTCAATCTAATGCGGCCAACAAGGAAAACGAATTACCCAATAACCTTGTGTCCACAGATTGCGCCATATGTCTCGAGGTTTATTGCCACGGGGTGGTTATTTGCGGGTTGCCATGTGGCCATTCATATCACCATGGTTGCATTGTAACATGGCTGAGAGGTGGCAACCATCGCTGCCCCACCTGTCGATGGCCAGCTTATAAAGCTAAAGGTTGCAAGTTATTGAAATACCAAGAATAGATGTGTATTTTGTGAGAGGTCATCAAAAAATTATATTCCAACTACAGTAATTTTGAATTTGTTCATGGGATTAATATGTCTCATGTAATTATTAAATAATATAAAATGATGATACAAAATTTAACATGATTTTAAACAGCAGAATGTTTTAAAAACATACACCATATTATATACCTAAACTATACTGAGAAAGGCAAAAGGTGTGAAAATGAAAAAATGTTTAGTTTAGAAATGTTATGCATTTTTGTTTTATTCTTGGTGATTCTTTTGGGTTAGCAAGCCTATGCAATTTCAGCATATAAAAACAGAATTGAGATTGTACTTATGTGTGGATGTAAACAAACACCAGTAAAGTTTATAAATTATCCATCAGCTATTTTTTTTAAAATTAATTTTATATTTAATTTTATTATAGAGAACAGATGGTATTTACAGTTTATATTAAACTTTATTTTATCCAAACATTGTTGAAAATCATGAACAGCTTAATAAGAGCATCAAATAATAAATTGCAGAAAAATAAAAATTGTTGACTAAATATTTGTATTCTTTTACTGGCTACCAATCACAGTAAAAATAGTGGGTGCTTTTGATCTGTATCTAAAATTAGTCATGGTTTTATGCATAGCTCGTCATAAAGCGAAGCATAACAGTGCCGGTGCTAATGGGGTGGGACGGTGCTAATGGGGTGGGGGTCAGGGAACACTTGAAAAAGCAGTTCACAGTCTGAAAGTGTCTTTTTCGGGAATTTACTGGTGCTGTTCTTGCTACAATTACAATCATAATGTGGTTAGCCCACAATCAACTTCTCATAGGGAATCTCTGGTACCACCACTGAGGCATACCATATAAATAAACTGTATATCAGACGGGGGCGGCGCCAGAATCCCCCATCGGTCTGGTCAAGCCCTCTCATCGGCCAAAGCTTGTCGGGCAGTCGGACCAAAAAAAAAAAAAGCCCTACTTTTCCAGTACTGTACTGCCTACGCCAAACCACCCTCAGATAACGCTGCGTGCTATAGTTACACTTATAAATACTTGGACACCCATAAATATTTGGGCCCCCAGTCGGACATTTTAGGGCCCCCCCCCCCTTAAATAGATTATATCCTAGAGCCACCACTAATATCAGACTCATGAAGTAGAGAATACAGTAGCCCACTTCCAACAGCTATGGAAAGCACATAATGTGTTAGAGACATGGCCAGCGGAAGCGGGGGGCCCGGCCCCCCCACTTTTTGGCCAAAAATATATAATGTATGGAGATTTTTGTATGATCGGAAATGCAAAAAAAGGAGGGAAGAAGGAGGAGGAGAAGGATGGGAAAGAGAATGTTTATCCAGTACCCGACCGAGTCACATTTTAGGGAGTTTTGATCAATTCCGACGAAATTAGAATTTAGAACAAAAAAATTTTTCGCGCGCATTTTTTAATGATAAAGCTTGTGCTTGCTCTCCTTTGCTTTCTAAGTTATAACACATAGTCCCAAACTCAAGAAAGAAATTTAAGATAGATCGTTTTACCTAAAAGAAGGGCCTCAATCTGTAATGATGTTGAAAGAATAAGAGACAGGTAATAAATAAAGCTATAACGAAATGCTTATATTCAGTTTAAAAAAACGAGTGTGGCCATATATAACATAAGAGCATTTTTTGTTGAGGTAGGCCAATTTCCTCTAAAAATTGCACATTTTAGGGAGTTTTGATCAATTCCGACGAAATTAGAATTTAAAAAACAAGAATTTTTCGCGCGCTTCGCGCGCATTTTTTAATGTTAAAGCTTGTGCTTGTTCTCCTTTGCCTTCTAAGTTATAATACATAGTCCCAAACTTGAGAAAGAAAATTTAAGATAGATCGTTTTACCTAAAAGAAGGGCCTCATTGTGTAATGATGGTGAAAGAATAGGCCTATGATTGTAATAAATACTAACCACGATGAAAATGCTTATATTTAGTTTCAAACACACGTGTGTGCCCTATATTAATAATAAAATAAGCCCTATGTCGTATTGTTTTCTATATGGTGGGTGGGGGGGTGTATCACCCAAGACCCCTGTTACACGCCTGCTTATAAGTGGGGCCCCCCCACTTTGAAAAACGTTCCGCCGGCCCTGAGAGATATGTCTTACACAAGCATACGCTTTCAAGACAACATAATGTTCAGAATAGTAAACAATTCCATAATCAGGGTGCTTGACGAAAGGTGACAAGATTTGCGCTTCCAAGTTCTCCGCAGCTTGTTCCTGAAAAAAAGGCAAACAACTTATTACAATTTTAAATTCATCAATCATTTATTCAGTGGCATATCTATTACAGTTGTGGATCATTCCTGGATACTGTATATACAGTAAAATTCTCCAAAACTGATGTCCTATTTAAAATTATGCATTAAAACACAGAAACACTCATACATGGTCCAACCTTTTAAAGTTTATTAAACTGCAAATGGAAGCAGAGGTAGAATTCACTATCAAAGGAATTAATATCTCAAAATTTAATTTCTTCCTTTAAACAGCCTGTAAAAATTATTACTGAAAATGCAATATACGAGCCATACTACTGAACTTTTTTATTTTACCAAAAGATAACAATAATACAATTATCACCTCAATTTATGGAGACTAGAGTCGGTATGATTTTTCTTACGTTCCACTTGCTGTTTCTTACATATTCCCTTTCATTTCCCATCTTTCCTTTGCCTCAAACCTCCAAGCTAATTTCCTTTTCTTCTTTTTCTGTGATTTTTTCATTTTCTCTTCCTGAAATGATTGAAAATAATGAGTGTTTTGGCAATGGTGTATCTATAAGTATTGCCATGTGGGGGGGGGGAGAGAATGGAAGATATGAATTGGGAGAGGGTGACAGCTGGAAAATAAGTTAATATACGATGAAGTTTTTCTGGGAAGCGTGTGTACCCCCTTTTCTCCCTTCCAGATACACCAATGAAGTGCAGCTTTTGATAATTTGCATGCATGGACTAGGCAGACACAGACTAGTAGTAATTCAATATTCTTCACATTACACCCCCATGGTTAAAATAAACCATAGTGTACCCTCCAATTTTCAAGAACCCTCAGATTTGAGACCACTTTTTCGAAGTACTGTACCAAAACTAAAAATCTGTAATCTTTTAACACAAAGCTGACCCTCTAATTGCAGACCGAAAACCAATACCACCCCAAATTTTCAGGTCCCAAAGGTGGTCTCGGTGTGGAGAGTGAACTGTATGGATGAAGACAATCAATAGATAGAGAAAAATGAAAGGAGCTAGTTAATAGAGCTGGCAAAAACTACTTACCTCTTGTTTGGCTACATATTCCTTAGCTTTTATGGCATCATGAATTTGAGCCCCAAAGTCTCTGTTTGCCAGATGATCACTCAGCTTTTCTGCTGTCCTGAAATCTTTTGCTGTAATTGCACTCTCAATCTCTTTCTCCAAACCAGACTGTGTTGGATAAGTGGAACAATCTTACATTTAAATCTATTTTTTATTTAGAAATACAACCAAAGTAACATGCTAAAACAAATTACACTCTAGTACAGTAGGTACCAAGAAAGTGTCCCCTTAATAGGAGTTGTACCAAAATAGGTGTTGGTCATAGTGTTAAAAGATATACTTTCCCTCTTTTGTGGCTCAAAAAGATTCCCCTTAATATTAGGGGTGTCTCAAAGGAGGGGTTCTATTGTAATGTACAGCTTTCTTACACAAAAAGAAGCTGCGCATTTATCAAGCCAAGAATGTTAGCTCTGGTGTAGCATTGACTTCAATTGAACTGGTGTAGAAGTGATGTATATGAGTGCACTACTTCACTTTTTTGTAATTTTGTCCTTAATTTGTCAAAATAATTTTAATCACAGACACTACTTTTAGAATTAATTGCATTAACATGTTTGATCACAGCCATTTAATAATAATAATAATTGGGATTTGTAAAGCACATAATACATAGGTCTCTATGTGCTGGAAATTTGCAAATTAAAGTAAACTAAAAAGATAGAGTCTTAAGATGATTCTTAAAGGTGAATATATTTATTTATTTATAAGGTGAATAGCTCTGAACTTTTACGTACATCTCAAATACTATAAAAAATAAAAAATAAAACGAATGCTGGTGTGACAGGCTAAAATTATAAAGTAGCGCCCCTCTGTATACTAAACTTGTACCTATTTTTTCAAAATTTTTAATCATAGACACTACGTTTAGAAATTAATTGCATTAACATTTTTGATCACAGCCATTTATAAGGTGAATAGCTCCGAAAGTTTATACCTTAAATGCTGTAAGTGATGAATGCTGGTGTGACTGGCTAAAATTATAAAGCAGCACCCTCTGTATACTAATCTCATACTTATTTCATCAAACTCATTTAAATCGAAGACATTATTTTTGTTATTAAAATATCCAGGCATCATGGGATTAAACACTTACACTTGTTTCTCATCACCTTTCCTTTTTACATGTAAGTCTATGTGGTGGTGCTGCATGTCTGACCACCTATTGGCAAATTTCTGGAGCCAAACTGATAAGTACAACTGGGCCATGTAGTAGAACAGAAGATTGATATTGAACAGTACAAAAAATAATATATCTTCAAAATATTTTACCATTTCCGATACTTTTCCATAATTGACACCTTTGAACCGGTCATGGACCCATAAATAGTCTTTGATCTCATTCCACTTCTTCTGCTGACCTGGATGTTCAGAATGCTGACCTGGGAGTAGTGGTCCAATCAATGGACTGGATGCAGAAGATACTGCATCTTTTCTTCCAGCATTACTTTCAGCACTGCTGTTCCCATATCCTGTTCAGGAATCATACATACATTATAATTGAAGCCCAGTGTAAGTAAAAACTCATACATGAATTTAAAAAATGGATTTAATAATAAAAAAGAAACAAATGTTAAATAAATAAAATTAGGATTCCTGAGGTTTTGACAAATAAAAGTGGATGAATTTATTTTATGATTTAAATATTACCAGCAATATTACTCAATTATTGAAGTTAAATCACCACTATTGTGACTAAGCGCTTTCTCAAGACAGAGCTTTGTGCTATGGAATTTAATGCAGATGTGTACTCAAAATCCATTAGCTTTTGATCGATGGGTCTACGGGCCTAAGCATTAAACTTTTCTTAACCAAAGACATATTCCTGGCACACAAGTACAGTTCACCCCACCCCCCCCCCTCCACAATTTCAAAATGTATACAAATAAAGTAAACACTCAAATATATACAGAAATATATAGGTCTTAAATATAAAATGTGTAAAACTATCCAAAACAAACATAAAAAAAAAAGATATGTAAGGGCACATAGAAAAGTTATTAGATTATCACTCTTTTTTTTCTTTTTATTGATGAGGGAGTGACTGTTTTTATTTTGCAAGAATATTGTAAATATTGTATAAAAACTGGTTTAATTTTATTGTTTTTCAAAGAAAATCAGTCACAAAATTGCATTGTTGTTTTAAGCTGTTAAAATATATAATGCATCAAAAAAATAATTTTTTATTCCCGCATCAATATTTTCCAAATTTTTGACATGGGCAGGAGTGATAATCTAACAATTTTTTCTATGTGCCCTAACAATAATGAATGTTATTCAATCAGTAATCAGACCTTCTATTTTGCTGTCCTCTTTATTCTTGCATCTTTTTTCTCTCTGACGTCTTCTCTTTCTGTTTCTTCTAGTCACCATATCCACTGATGAAGAAGGAATTTGTTCCCTATCCTTCTGCAGTTCTAAAAATTTCTTTAAAAAAATTACTTCACTAAATTTTCTGTGACATTAGAATTACAATCTGGTAAATTAAAATACTTATTAAAAGGCTTTATTAAATATATTTTCTTTATATAATATATAACATCTAGGCTAGGCCTACCTCCCACTGAATTTGTGATACTCCACGCGGAGGAGGCTTGGTCGACTTCCCGTCCAGTGGTAATGAATTGCCCTCGTCTGCATCATCATGCCTTGGCCTAGCCGAAACATCCTCATTATCTGAACTATCGGTGAGGTTTTCGTCCGAACTATCACTCATACCAGGTGGTAATATTGAAAGCATTTTTATAAAATGTTTAAAATATCGCAAATTAATTGGCAAAAGGGCCTAAAATTGTGATCGACGAACAACTCTTTTTTTGTGACTCGTGAGTGTTTACTTCTCTCTATATAATGAGGTCAAAGGGTAATCAAAATTAGCCAATCATAACAGAGGAAATTGTTCATTTCTACTTTGGTTTCCGTGCAGGTAGCGTCTATGGATACGATAGAACCACAAGTTAGTGCTCACTTTCTTGCTGTACTCTTCGAATCTACCCGGTTATGTAGAAGGTAAGTGTATATATAAGAGTAAAACATCATTTTGAACTGTGTAACGATTGTATTATTCAGAATAAATGATAATCTACAGTGCTAGTCTTTGCCACGAGAGTTGGCGTTATTTCTTATCTTCAGTACAAGTACTAAGTAGGCCCTACTGAAGTTGAAGAGTAGACACCGCGCCGCGGTGAGTGTGGAGGAGGGAGAGATCTCTTGTCCTTGACATCGTCTGATGAGGCGGGTCGGGTAGAGAGTATGTTGGTACAACATAAGTTTGATTATGTTTTCAGATATTTAGGATCTATTTTTGTGCTAAATTATTTATGTCTATTATTATTGTATTATAATTCTATCATTTCTTGTGTGGAAGGTCATTTCAGATTCACGACGTTGACCGTCGATAGTAAATTATCTGTACCAGGGGCGGATTTAGGGGGGGGGGGCCGGCCCGATTTTTGTAGATTCTTTGTACTTCTAACTTGTCAATAGTTTGCTGTTGGTTAACAAGGTCACTGATTTTGAACAGTGGTATTGCATATTTTATTATACTTTGGTTATTTTTCTTGTTTATTAAACCATGACGTAGACCTCTTAAATTATTCATTACAGTGTCAAAATGCATAATAAGGTATTTGCTGGTCGTTGAACCCACAAATGATACTCCACGCGGAGGAGGCTTGGTCGACTTCCCGTGCAGTGGTAATAAATTGCCCTCGTCTGCATCATCATGCCTTGGCCTAGCCGAAATATCCTCGTTATCTGAACTATCGGTGATGTTTTCGTCCGAACTATCACTCATACCAGGTGGTAATATTGAAAGCATTTTTATAAAATGTTTAAAATATCGCAAATTAATTGGCAAAAGGGCCTAAAATTGTGATCGACGAGCAACTCTTTTTTGTGAGTGTTTACTTCTCTCTATATAATGAGGTCAAAGGGTAATCAAAATTAACCAATCAGAACAGACGAAATTGTTCATTTCTACTTTGGTTTCCGTGCAGGTAGCGTCTATGGATACACGATAAAACCACAAGTTAGTGCTTACTTACAACTTGCTGTACTCTTCGAATCTACCCGGTTATGTAGAAGGTAAGTGTATATATAAGAGTAAAACATCATTTTGAACTGTGTAACGATTGTATTATTCAGAATAAATGATAATCTACAGTGCTAGTCTTTGCCACGAGAGTTGGCGTTATTTCTTATCTTCAGTACAAGTACTAAGTAGGCCCTACTGAAGTTGAAGAGTAGACACCGCGCCGCGGTGAGTGTGGAGGAGGGAGAGATCTCTTGTCCTTGACATCGTCTGATGAGGCGGGTCGGGTAGAGAGTATGTTGGTACAACATAAGTTTGATTATGTTTTCAGATATTTAGGATCTATTTTTGTGCTAAATTATTTATGTCTATTATTATTGTATTATAATTCTATCATTTCTTGTGTGGATGGTCATTTCAGCAGATTCACGACGTTGACCGTCGATATAGTATCTGTACTCGCGGTCAGCGACTGTTTTTGATTATTGTAGTTTCTTTGTACTTCTTGTCAATAGTTTGCTGTTGGTTAACAACAAGGTCACTGATTTTGAACAGTGGTATTGCATATTTTATTATACTGTGGTTATTTTTCTTGTTTATTAAACCATGACGTAGACCTCTTAAATTATTCATTACAGTTTCAAAATGCATAAGTATTTGCTGGTCGTTGAACCCACAAAAAGTGTTTCTAGGATGTGCGCATGCTTGTGGCACTGTTCTGATTGGTCAAAAGATCCATCCAACGAGATTGTGATTAGAATAAAGTGTTTGGTACCACTGTAAAGCTAAAATGTTTGTAGTTCTTGTAGTATTCACTACATGTCAATCTGATCACATACGCACTCTCAATGAGCTTCGGAAAAGTGTTAAAAGTAGCTAAAAAAAGTCGGTGGCTGATATTACTTTTTCAAACATCTGGCGGTCAGAGTGTTAAAGAGTTTAGAACATGGTTTCCCAAGACTGGTTCATGTGCACGTTAACAGTACAGTTCTTTTCTAACAAGACTAGTCGCATGTTGAAAGGCTGACTGTTTGTAAGGAAACAATTTGCAATTAACATTGTTCAATCGTCACATGGTTCAATTAACACCCTACTTATTAACTATTAACAAAGAAAAAACCTCTACACAGTTGACAATATTTTTCAATAACTTTACCCAAGCATTTAATCTGATGAAGGTTGTGCATGTTGGAGGAATAAAACTCTGGGAATTGTGTGAGTCTGTTTTATACTGAAATATTAGTATAAATAAATAAATGCTATCATAATCCACCTTTGTGGTACTGTAGTCTACAAAATATTTTTAAAAACATTTATTTATTTCAACAATTTTTAATGAGGGTGGTCCATTTAGCCAAAGCTGATCATTAGGGACCTTCAACATCAACTAAGATATCAAATTTGAATAGACTTGACTTTACACCAAGCATTTAATCTGATGAAGGGTTCTCTTTGTGGTGAAGTCTAGAAAATATTTTTAAAATATCTAATAAGATATTAACTTCAAATAGAATGGAACAATTTTGCTGATTTACAAACTTTTTACTATGGAAGTCTTTGAATTGATTACCAGCCAATTTAAGTTCCTTTGCAGAAATTGGAATGGTATTATTTATGTACATATATGTTAATTTTGACAAGCAAAATATTTTCATTTGAAATCTAATTCCTTAGGTTTGTAATACATTTTTTTAGATTTATTGTTAAAATTACCACAATTCAATATTAAATGTAGCCGATTTTATTGAATTGGATTTAAATAGTAAATTTGATTTTTCAAGTTGTTCAGCTTTAATACGCAGACTGTATGTCTTAAAGGTTCTATAAGTATTGTTTGACGTCATAGATCTGAGTGTGTGTTACTAGTGATTTAAGTCTATTACATTGTAGAGGGTTATCACCTTTCTATTCATAAGTAGGCTGATTGTTATAAACAGTACTTAGATCGTTTTCCATTAGAACTCATTCAGTACAGGCTGTTGATCTTGGGACCTTTATGAATAATTAAACCAGTTAGAGTAATACAATCACCAAACTGTTAGTTGAATGCTATGTCATGAATGACATACCCTTTTTAAATATAGTATGAAGAGATTTAATTTAATTTTTATTTCATTTTATCTAAAAGCATATTTATAATAAAGGTTCCCTCTAATTAAAGACCCCTCCAATTTAAGACCACCTCCAATTAATGACCACTCTTGTTTGGTCCCAAATTAACAAATGTATTTTATCTTTGTTATTCTAATTAGAGACCAAAGCTGAAAGACCATCCCCGGTCCAAAAAGTGGTCTTTAATTGAGGGGAGACCTGTATTTTTTAAATAAATTGCCATATGTATATGCTATAGAAAATAAAAAGTGAAAAAAAGAGACAGAAACAATAAAGGAAAAAAAAAATGTTTTTTTCAGACCAGGAGGCGCTTATTAACGCTCCTCTTAAAGGGGCACAGATTATAATTCGAGGGGAGAGAGTTTGAAAGCGCTACTTGCCATTGGAAATAGGCTCCTGCATCGTGGCATGGATATGTAGGCTACTAAATATAATTCATTCAGGATGATACACTTGCAGACACATGCACTTAAGATGCTCTATATGAACTTTAAATTTTTTGAGATTTAGGGAGTATAGTCTACTTCGTGAATACTTACCTGGATAAACCGACTAATTGCCTATTCTTTCTCTCACGAGAAACACCCCTCGAAAAATAATAGAACAGTCGACTCCTGGCGCCAAGCACAAGCGGCCCCGCAACCATGCAACTTCTTATTCTTTATAGTCTACAGTCTTTAAGGGGGGAGTTTATTCAAGGAAAAATGATCACCCCCAGCGTTTATGCGATTGAGGAGTTTATTCCAAATGAGGCTCTGGAGAGGGCGTTTATTCAAAAAGGAGGGTGTTTATTCAAAGCAGGGCATTTACTTGAATAAATACAATAGTCAAATATATAAAAAGGTATTTGAGATGAAACACTCAAGATAATGTTGATGGAGGATGATCTGATGAATTTAGGACTGACTGTGAACATCATGGTTACATCATCAACATTGTGATCAAGATTTGCAAGAACATGTAAACTGTAATAATTTATAAGTACAGCTATTAATAAATGACTCGGACTCTATTTCAAACTGGAACTCAACTCCTTTATTTAATGTCCAAATACCGAGTGTCTACTCCCGCCTCAATGGGCATATGAGTAGCGTGTATCAGTAACGCGTACGCTACAAGCTAACTGTAAACAAGAACAAGGTCCCTGGATGGACAGGCACATAAATATAACAATGCAATATCACATAAACAGCATCGAACTAGAAACCATGACCATTTGATTAAGAACACAAAGCATTACCACTATGCCATGTGCTTCCAAGAAAATTTTATCAAGTAATTGTATTTCGATTCTTGTGTCTGGTATCCTTTGTTCAGATAAAATTAGGTTTAGAATCCCATTTGATGGATTGCATGATGAGGATGCACAATTTCCTGAGTATCTGGATGTCTTCTCAGGTGTGAGATATGAATTGCACACAATACGCAAGTTTATTGACGTTATAGAAAGAATGGTTTGAGAATCAATGTGCCTTAGAGATGCTAATGATAATTGATGGCAATTATAGAAATTATAAGCTGCAGTAGTACAGTATTGTAAATTATGAAAACCTAGATGTGATACGGACATAGAAATCATTCTGCAAATACTTCTACTGTGGGAAAAATAAAAAATAATTATTAAAGATAATTGGTACTATGCAAACAAACAAATTTTTATTATGCTTGAATATGTTCTGTTTTGCGTGGATTCTGTTTGGAGAGTCACTTGATAGTTTTCCTCTTAAACTTTTTGACAATTTTTTGGATGGCAGGTTTCCACTTTCCTTTGTATATGTTCATCCGAAAATAAAATTTGAATTGAATACAATAAGTAAATTTGATCATAATTTTCTACTTGCTATTCTGCATTTTGTATGTCGAT